GAGAGAGATTGTGTGTGTGTCACTCGGCGGCGGCGTGGCTCCAGCTTTATCTTTAGCAGGAGCCGCTGAAATTCCACACGTCTCTGTGTGAGCGCCGCATGTGTGAAGGGTCGCGCTCAAACACACCATACACAGGCCTTTCATGAGCGTTTACAACACTCGCAAACACACCGAGCATCAGCGCCTGCAGGATAAAACACGTGTCCATCCGCTAAAGACCAGCTACAAATCCCACAAACCAAAAACTTTCAGCTGAAAATCAGTTTTCTGACGTTTAATTAATGCTTCTGCAGTGGTGCGTTTTTACTGTTTCAGTGTCTATGTCATGAAAAAATATTATAAAAGAAAATAAAACAGGTAAACGTGGACACTAGCGCTGGATGAACCTTCTTGATTTCTTGTTTTTAATCGAACTGCATTTTAATGCACCAAGATATAAACAAATATATTTTAAATCTATGGTGTATGAGTTTAAGTGCATTGCATTGTTACTTTCAATATGAAATAAATAAATGTTCACTACATTTATATTCATTATACGTTTCTTATTTCTTAAATACTTCCATATTTAATATATGATTTTTTTTAGAAACATTTATATCATAAAAAAGTTTATTTAAAAACATATACAACTCAATGTTTATTTGAGTTTTGATTTATAAGTTGCATTATTATAATTTAATTAATAATATTTAACTTGTTAGGATTATTTATAATTAAATAATTAATATTAAGGTCATATTAAATCATTACTACTATGAACTAATCTATTATTGTTATAAATTAAATTTAAAAAATTGAGTAAAAACATTTATATCATTAAAAAGTTTATATAAAAACAGCCTTATATGCAAATTAAATGTTTATGTACAACTCAGCTTTTATTTGAGTGTTGATTATTAAATCAAAATATTATAATTATTTAATATGAACTCATTAGATCATTTAATAATTATTCGGTACATATTAAAATATTTATTTATTTAGTTGATTATACATTATTATTTGATTGATTAATCCATTATTAAACACACTATTTTTGGATTTGGATTTCAGCTAATTTCGGTTTTGGTGTTTCAGGAAAAAAGTTATTTCAATGCATCACTAGTTTAATCAAAGTGCCACAGCATTAGGCTTCCTGAAGCTGGAGCAGTCACAGCTTCGATTCTCAGGGACTGAACTGATCAAATGCACAGCTTTAATTCAATGCAAGTCACTTGGGATTAAAGCATCTGTCAAATGCATCAGTGTGAATGCATGCTGCACCACAGTGATCTTTAATAAAGCTGTGCATGCTCATAAACGCAATAAGAGATCAGATAATGTAAGGATGAAGCCATGGGTGTTTCTGAATGACAGAACAATCGCTGCGGCTCCTGATGACTCGAGTCCGTCTCAATCTCCAATCGTTCACCGAGCGCTATAATGCGTCCTAAAACAGTAAGTAATTATTGTTTGATTCCAGCGTTTGATGATCTGCTCTGATTGAGTCGAGCATCATTCGCTCGTAAGATCCGCTCCTGCCGCGCTCTGAACGCCTAATTGTAGATTCGTGTGTTTGAGGACGATCCACTATGGCTTTAGCATATTAAGGCAGGAGAGAAGGGTCAGACGCTCTCTGGAGGATCAGAAGGAGGTTCTCACAGAGAACGGGACAATCTGATTACAGCCTTTAACACGCTTCAACAAAACACCGGCTGCAGATCAGGAGCCTTTCTGCCAGCATTAGCACCACTTAGACCCACAGAAGAGTTCAGGTTTGGAATCAATTCATTATTACTAGCAAACTAATAATAATAATTACTATTAATAATGTATTATTGTTATTAATAATAATTCCTTATTATTTTTATTATTAGTAGTAGTAGTACTAGTATAATTATTATTAAGAATACAATTATTATTAAACATTTTATACATTATTATTATTATTATACAAAACTTTATAAATAAAAGACATTTATACGTTATAAAATTCAAATAATGAACATTATTATTTTTAAATCATTATGTTTTAAATTTGTATTATCATTATTAATTTGATAAATTAATTAAATTATTATCACTATTAATAATTTAAATAATTATGTTTTAAATTGGCATTATATTATTATAATTATAAACATAATAAATTAAAATCATAAATTATGATTATTATTGTTATTATTATAATTTTATAGTATATCATTGATAATATAAAATTCTTCAATTACTATATTTATCATGTTTATAAATATAAGAAAGAAAAGAAAGAAAAACATTTTCGGTGACCATAAACTCATTAGTCAGATAGAAATAAAAACTGTGGAGGGGGGCACTAAAAATAAACCGTAGAGAGGGGAATTTTGCTAAATATATGCACCATATAACATATTCATTATAAATTTTACTGTTCTTATGTTTAATTTACGTTTGAATAAATCCATCAAGTTTTTATGACAACCACCATTTAAATGTTTACATTTCAAAAAAATGAACTGAAGTAGAAATATTATTATGTAACTTTAACTTTATTATTGTAAAAACCTCATTAATTTTAACCTTCAATATGAAATTTGTGTCAAAACCCAACCCTAGTGTTCGTACCTCGGAGGAAACGAGATGTCCATCTCATGCAGACGCTCCTTAAACACAGACAGCTCTCTGTCGAACTCTAAGAGCTGGAGACAAACACACAGAAACAGAGAGAGAGTCAATGCAGGTGTAATACATAAACAATGAGCTCATTAACATAAGACCACCCATATTTACATATCAACACAGTATCAGCAACTTCCACACTCACACTCACACACACAAACACACGCTCGCACTCGCACACACACACACACACACGCACGCACGCACACACAC